GTAGGGCAGTGGATGTTGTCTATATGGACTTCAGTAAGGCTTTTGACAAGGTCCCGCACTGCAGGCTAGTCATGAAAGTTAGGTTGCATGGGATTGAGGGAGAATGAGTTAATTGGATTCAAAATTGGCTCGATGCTGGGAAGTAGAGGGTGACGGTTGAAGGTTGTTTCTCAGACTGGAGGCCTGTGACTAGGGGTGTGCCACAGGGATTGGTGTTGGGACCTTTGTTATTTGTTATTTACATAAACGATCTGGATGTGAATGTATGAGGCATGATTAATAAGTTTGCGGATGATACAAAATTAGGCGGTATTGTTGATAGCGAAAAAGGTTATCAAAAATTACGGAGGGATCTTGATCAGATGGGGGAGTGGGCTGAGGATTGGCAAATGCAGTTCAAGACAGATAAGTGTGAGCTGTTGCACTTTGGAAAGTGAAACCAAGATAAGACTTGTACGTGAATTGGTTAGGTCCTGAGGAATGTTGTGGAACAGCGGGACTGAGGAGTACAAATACATTGTTTGTTGAAAGTGGTATCACAGGAGCACAGAGTGGTGAAGAAGGCATTTAGCATGCTGGCGGTCATCGCTCGAGGCATTGAGTATAGGAGTTGTATAAGCTGTGGTGAGGCCGCACTTGGAGTACGTTGTTTAGTTTTGGTCACCTTGTTATAGGAAAGATATAGTTAAACTGGAAATTGTGCAAAGAAGGTTTATGAGGATGTTGCCAGGACTAGTAGGCCTGAGTTATTAGGAGAGGTTGGCCAGGATAGAACTTTATTCCTTGGAATGTGGGAGATTGAGGGATGATCTTATTGAGATGTATAAAGTCGTGAGGGGCATAGATAGCATGAATGCATATGGTCTTTTTCCCAGGGATTGGGAATTTAAAAACTAGAGGGCAAAGGTTCAAGGTAAGAGGGGAAAGATTTAAGAAGGACCTGTGGTGCAACTTCTTCACACAGAGAGTGGTGCGTATATGGAATGGGCTGCCGGAGAAAGTGGTTGAGGCAGGTACAATCGCAACACTTAAACGACGTTTGGATAGGTACATGGATGGGAAGGGTTTAGAGGGATATGGACCAAATGTGGCAATTGGAACTAGCTGAGTGGGCACAATGGTCAGCATGGATCAGTTGGGACCAAAGAGCCTGTTTTCATGCTGTATTACTCTGTGACTCTGTGCAGATGGTGCTCTCTTGGGACAGTCTAAAACTAGAGGTCTGTTTAAAAATTAGAGGTTACTTGTTTAAACCGGAGGTTAAACAATTTTTTTCCTTATGAAGGGTTGTGTGTGTTTGGAGCTCACTTCCTGAAAATGTGGTGGAAGCAAAATGCTTGAATATAATTAAGGCAAAAGTAGGTAGATGCTTGTTAAACAAGGGTTAGAAGGTTATTGGAGGTAGGTGAAATTGAAATTGGTGAAATTGTAGATTTGAAGTAACAGTCACAGCAGCCATGGTCTTATTGAACAACAGCGCAAGAGTCAGGGGCTGAGTAGCATGTTCCTGATGTTAATATTCATATATAATTGCGTGTGTGAGCATCAAAAAATTGCTGTTATTTCTGAGCACAGACATGCAACTGCAAAACACCAGTCAGTCTCTTGGAGCACAAGTATTTTTTTTTTCAAAGTTGTTGTATTACAAGTTACTGTGCTGAGTATTTTGTTTTGCCAAATGTGTTTGCAAACGTTTATGCACTTACTGGTATTGAATTCAGTAGCCTGTACTGGGCAATAATTCTGTTTCATGCCATTTATTGCTGTTCTGTTGATGTGTTTTGGCATTTATCATTATTCAGCTATTAAATCAATATTTAAGAGACTGATGTACTTTGAAGGCAAATGCATTTGCTTACACCGGGTTAACAGTTCACGTTTTAGTTTTGCACGTAATGTGTCAATATGCAATGAATACCATCTGCATGCCCACCTCTAAAAAGCAGGCATTGTGCTTATTCTGCATTCTCACTTGTCAATTGTTTGTCATGTGTTTGCAGCAACCCCTTTTGTGCTTATTAGTATTATGTTACAAACTGCTTAACTCATCATCAGACAACTTCACTGTTGGCATTTTTGAACAAAAGTATTTTATATACTTTTATTAAGCTTTGTACTGATTTCCATAAACAAAAGGGATATAAATTACTTGGAAAATAACAAACTGGAAACAACTTCACCTTAGAAGCACTTAGCAATTTTTAGTTTCAATGTGAAGTAAACTTATGTATCTGTAAGGACAAGTGTTACTTTAATCAAAGCTTAAAACAGGAAGGGAATTGGTAATATTTTAGTAGGACAGGTCTAAGAAAAGAATACCTTCAAAAGCATATTTTCCAAACCATGTAAGATGCATGCCTCACTAGTTCAGTTCAAAAATATTTTGTGGATGATGAAAAATTCTGCAAGCTGTACATGTGCAGTTATGCTGGGGCAAACTATACAATTGAAGCTTGAGCTTCTGAGAAAATCTAGACATTAAACGATAAAATGTAATTGAGAGGACTAATTTAATGAATTTGTTATGAATATTTAATTCAAAAAATTTAAACTGTGTTTGAAACCTTAATTTGTGCATAATAGAGTTTAGCTCCTGAAGGAACGTGACTGATGTCTCCTAAATATGTTGAAGTGAATCTGTTGATTCACTTTTTAATGTATTGGTATTACAGCCCACTGCAGTTGGCTGGTTTCCTGAGTTTGTGGTAGTTTCTCGTTGGGAGATTTTTATCTGCTTGCTTTAATATATTCTTTGTCTCCAGTTCTAACTTGGCAAGACTTTCAATATATTTTGTTAGTTTATTTAAAAGTCTCCAGAGGCACAGCACGTGGTAAGTCAGAACATGAGCACTTTATACAGACGTGTATTTTGTATTGTGTCATTATTGACATAAACATACAAATATATGTGCATTAAAACTAGAAAGCCCGAATTCGCTGAGCGAGTACAGGGATGCATTCGTACAGAAGTCGTTTTAAGAGGAAACATGTATGCTCACTGAAATATCTTATCATATTTCAAGACTAGTGGTCATATTTTTAAGGTGAGAGGAGAAAGATTTAAAAAAAGCCGTGAGATGCACCTTTTACAAAGTGTGGTTCATGTGTAAAATGAACTTCCAAAGGGAAACGGTGGATGCGGGTACAGCTACAACATGTAAAAGACATTTAGATAAGTACATGAATAAGAAATGTTTGGAGGATAAGGACCAAGCACAGGCAAGTGCAGCTAGTTTAGTTTGGGATTGAGAAGTCAGGGGAAAATACATTAGCCATTGAGAGCAAGTTTACTATTCAGGATAGCCAGGGGCACAGTAATCAGAGGGAAAAGACTTCTGGTTTAAAGTGCATTTATTTCAACACACAAGGCCTGTCAGGTAAGGCAGATGAGCTCAGAGCATGTATTGGCTGTGGAGACTGGCATATTATTGCCATAACAGAAACATGGCTGACAGAAGGATAGGACTGGCGGCTGACAGAAGGGTAGGACTGGCAGCTTCATGTTCCAGGATACAGAAGCTACAGGTGTGACAGAAGTGCAAGTCAGCGAGGAGGGGGAGTTGCCCTTTTGACAAGGGAGGACATAACAACACTGCGTAGAGAGAATATTCTTAAGGTGCCATCAAATGAGGCCATATGGTGAGATGGTCACTCTGGGACTGTATTATAGACCCCCAAATAGTCAGTAGGTCCTAGAGGAGCAGATGTGTAGAGAGATTGTAGATACCTGTAGGAATAATAGTGTAGTATTGGTTGGAGATTTTAATTTCCTCTATTGCCTGGGCAACCCAGAGTATAAAAGGCCTGGATCGGGTGGAATTTGTCAAATGTGTCCAAGAAAGTTTCCTAAATGAATATGTAGAGGGCCCTACTTCGGAGGTTGCAACACTGGACCTCCTCTTAGGAAATGATGTTGGGCAAGTGACTGAGGTGTCAGTCAGAGAGCACTTTGGGTCCAGTGCCCATACTCTTAGGTTTAACATAGTTATGGAGGAAGATAGGACAGGTCCACAGGTTAAGTTGCTGAATTGGAGCAGGGCCAATTTTGGGGCCATTAGACAGGACCTAGTGGCAGTCTTCACGCAGATAGTGGTGCATATATGAAAAGGGCTGCCAGAGAAAGTGGTTGAGGCAGGTACAATAGCAACATTTAAAAAACGTTTGGATAGTTACATGGATGGGAAGGGTTTAGAAGGATATGGACAAAATGCAGGCGGTTGGAACTAGCTAGAGACAGTAAGAACTGCCGATGCTGGAGTCAGAAATAACAGTGTGGAGCTGGAGGAACACAGCAGGCCAGGCAGCATCAGAGGAGCAGGAAAGCTGACGTTTTGGGTCGGGACCCTTCTTCAGAAATGGGACTTCTTCAGAAAAAGTTGGAACTAGCTAAGTGGACACCATGGTCAGCATGGACTAGTTTGGGCCGAAGGACCTGTTTTGTGCTGTATGACTCTACGATTATAGTCGGAATGGACTGGTTGGACCGAAGGGTCTGTTTCCATGCTGTATGACTCTGATTCTAAGCCCATTGTTTATACTGTTCTGTGAAATGTGACTTCGATTTTACTGTGACAGTAGATGTATTCTATGTTTGGTTATTAAATATAATGGAAATAGAGTGCTGTTTTACGAGACAGCACTTATACGAATGTTCCTAATTCTGGAGGTTAATGTGGTAATGATGGCTTTAATATTTTACGTTATGATGCTCCACTTTATGGTTGAGTACTCTAAGTCAATGAATTGTGCACACGAGAAATTGTGTATCTCAGGCCCAACCTGGCTATGAGACGAACTTAACTCAATTGTATTCTGTTCCCTTTCTTACATCTACATGTAACAGTATCATTTTGTTCATTAGGTAAGTTAGTGTACAGTCAAATTGAATTACTGTACACCTTTGTTATTTTAGCCAGAGTTCAGGTTTTCTCTAACTTCCATTAGTCCTCAGAAAATTAATCTTTCTTATATATCTTACTGATGTCATTCTGTTTTCCTAGAGTAATGATGGAGAAGAGCGACTAGCTGTTGTTCGACTCTTGGCTAAGTTGTTTGGTGCAAAGGATTCAGAGCTCGCAACGCAAAATCGTCCTCTCTGGCAGTGCTTCCTCGGACGGTATGATACTTATTTGTTAATGATTCAACGTGGTGTTCTTGTGCATGGTTTACTTTTGTTGGAAGCTCAAGATGGCTGTGGGAGCTTGTCGTGCACAAGTTGACTGAGTTTCCTATACTACAGTAGTGATTACATTTCAAAAGAACTTGCTGTGGCTTTCATGATAAGTACACTACCATGTCTTTCTTTTTATACATAATCTCTTATGAAAATGTACGTGTGCTATTGAAAGTTCCTTCCCTAAATATGGTGAAAAGTACTGGGGTATGGTTTACAGGGATAGCAGCATTATACCTTATCCAAATGGTCATTCTAAGTTGACAATAAATATAGGCCAGACATTTCAAAGCCCCCATGGCCTTATACCAAATATTTGATGTTTTTCTTGCTATATATCAATGTTCATACTTTGTCACTAGTCAGCACAGATTAATGGATTGCAATCATGAATGAGCAGGCTGACAAGATTTTCCTCTCCTCTCTCTCCAAACAGGAGTGTTGAGGTCATATTGTACAGTGGGATCATTAGCTTAAATGTTGATTACATAACACCTGCCATGTGAGACCTGTAAAATCTATGAAAAGCTGCTCAATTTAAAGGGCACCCTTAGAAACTGCACAAAAACAGCAGGTGCTGGAAATCTGCAACAGAAAAAGTTGGAAGTACTCCACAAGCTAGCTGGCATTTGTAGAACGAATAGACAAATTAGTGTTTCAAGCATGTGGACATTTTGTCACAACTGGACAATGTTACAGATGGGTAACATTCAAAGATGGAACAGAACAAAGTGAAGGGAAATGTTTGAAAAAGAAAGTGCAATAGTAACTTGTAAAATGCTAAGTGGAAAATGAGAGTGCTAAATGAGAGAATTGATATTGGCAAGATTAGAGAATAATGAGAGAACTGCAAACAAAAAAGTGCAAGACGCTGATAGCATGAGATAACACAGTGTGAAGCTGGAGGAACACAGCAGGCCAGGCAGCATCAGAGGAATAGGAAAGCTGATGTTTCGGGTCGGGACCCAGAAGGGTTCCTCCAGCTCCACACTGTGTACTCTCTGACTCCAGCATTGACCGTTCTTCCTATCTCTGATAGCATGAGAATAGGTGTGGAGGTAAAATGACGTGAACAAGGAGAAACAACAATGTGTAAAATTGACATAAGAGAATGGGCTCCAAGGCACAGCAGCTTAAAGGACAAGTATGTTAATTGGTACCAAGGGTGGAAATTGCCTTGTTGGCACAGGGTTCTGGATGTCATACCAAGTATAAGAGATCCTTCCTGTCTCGCCACCCAAAATGCCAGTGCATTCAGCCCACTTTGCTGGCACTTCCTGCCAAAGCTTAAAGTCATTCGAGTCAATATTAAGGCCAGTGGGCTACAGAAAGTACTTTGTAGAAATACAGGATGCTTTTCATTTAAATTATGCTGAACTTATCAGAATACTGTTGACTGCTAAAAAGAGTGGCCTGCTCTTGCAGACATGAGCAGAAGCAATTGAAACTCCCAATGTAGAGGGTGCAGGGGAGATTTCCCAGAACAGTTGCAGAAGTTAGGATTGTTTTTCTTGGAATAATGAAGATTGAGGAGAGATTTGATACAGTGTACGAGATTATGACCGGTTTAGGTAAGACAGGCAAAGAAGGGCTGTTTCCATTACTGACAATAGGGGGCACAGATTTAGATTTTGATTGAGATGCGGGGGTCCGAAGAACATTCGAAGCACTGTTTTTTGATAACCTGGAACCTGGTGCCAAGGAGAACGGTAGAATTTGGGGACTGTTTTGAGAGGAAGGTAGGTTAATAGTTCTTTTTTAATTCATTCATGGGATTCATATGTTGATGATTAAACCAGTGTTTTGTGCCATCACAAACTGCCCTTGAAAAAGTCATGGTGAATTGCCAACTGCATTACTTGGGGTGTAGGTGCACCTAGATTGCTGCAAGGGAGGGAGTTTGAGAATGACAAGGGAATAATTGTTGTCTCAGCACTGTCTTTCTCGCTTGGTCAAACTGTTCTCACCAGGATTCATTCTTATCTACCTAATTGTAACCGGAAAATCACTTGCAATGGCTTCTCTTCCTGCTCCTGTACTGTTATCTCTGGTGCCCAACAGGGATTAGTCTTTGGAACCTCTGATTTCTCACCTGCCTGCTACCATTTGGCAGGATCATTCACAAGTGCAATTGTAGTTTTCCCATGTATCCCAAAAATGCCCAGCTCTACCTCACTACCAGCACATCGCAACTTCCTCCATTGTTGCTAAATTATTGGACTGCTTATCTAATACTCAGCATTGGATGATCAAAAATTTCTTCCAATTAAATATTGCAGATGCTGAAGTTATGGTTTTTGACTTCTGTTTAAAACTCTCTTCTTGATCCCAAATCTTATAATTCTTTAATTCTTTCTTTAGACATGAGTGTCAGAGGCTTGGCTAGTATTTCGTGCCCAAACCTAACTTCCCTTCAAAACATGATGATGAGCTGCCTTCTCGAAACACAGTCCTTAGTGTGCAGTTCCTCCCACAGTACTGCTAATAAGAAAGTTCCATGGATTTTGATCCAGCAATAGTGCAAAAATTGCAAAATAGTTCGAAGTAAGAATAATGTGTGACATGGAAGTGAACTTGCAAGCGTTGGCATAGCCTTGTATTTACTATCTTTGTACTACTGGGTAACAGAGGATGTGGGTTTGGAGGGTACTGTCAAATGAGCCTTGCTGCTGTACATCTTGCAACTGGTACACACTGCTGCAATTGTGCATCACTGGTGAAGAGATTGGATGTTGAAGATTGTTGCTGGAGTGCTAATCAAGCAGGCTGTTTTTTCATTCATGGTGTCTCGTTTGTGTTGTTGGAGCTGGACTTGTCCAGGTAAGTGAACAGTATTCCTTGACACTCATGACTTGTGCCTTGTAAATGATAGGCAGGCTGTAGCGAGCCAGGGGGTGAATTACTCAGCACATGGCTGGCCCAGTTTGGTTTCTGTTAAGTGGTAACCTTAAGTTCGTTGATTGTGGAGGATTCAGCCATTGTACTGCCATTGAATGTCAAAAGGAGATAATCATTGTTGGTAACGGTCTGAGATGTAGCCATCTATTTGCAACCTTTGTGTCATGAATGATTCTGTGACAAACTTGCTTGTCAACCTCATTTGTGCCAATCCTAATAATGCATAATTCTACCTCCATAACATAAGAGTTACAAAGTCGTACAGCACAGAAACAGACTCTTCGGTCTAAACAGTCCATGCTGAATGTAATCCTAAACTAAACCAGTCCAACCTGCCTGCTCCTGGCCCATATCCCTCAAAACCTTTCCTATTCATGTACTTATCCAAATGTCTTTTAAAAGTTGTAATTGTACCCACATCCGCCACTTCCTTGGGAAGTTCATTCTACACACGAACTACCCTCTGCTAAAAAAAAAAAAAATTGCCCATGTCTTTTTTTAAAATCTCTCTCCGCTCACCTTAAAAATGTGCCCCCGGTCCTGAAATCCCCTTTCTAAGGGAAAGGAAAACTACTAGTAACTCTGTATCCCTCAATAGTTTATAAACTTCTATAAAGTCGCGCCTCAACCTCATACGCTCTATTGAGAAAAGTCCCATCTTTCAACGTGGTCCATCTCAGCTAATCTACTGAGGCTCCTATTCATGCTTCTGTTACCTCTAGACTCAACTATTCAAACACTTTTATCTGGTCTGCCATGTTCTATCCTCAGTAAATGTGAGGTGTTCTATAACTCTGTTCACAGTTTCTTAATAGGCAGAAATTTCTATCCTACTATCATCCTTCTCTTTGCTGAACTATGCTGGGTCCAAGCAAAATCTGGATTTGAAAATTTTATCCTTGTTTTTGAACTCCTCCATGGCTTTGCCTTTCCCTATCTGTGTAATCTCTTCCACAATCCTTAGTCTGGCCTCTTGTAGATCCTGAATTTTAATGGCTGTACTGTTGGTGGCAGGGCCTTCAGTTGTCCAGAGCCCAAGATCTGGAAGACCTTCTTTTACGCTCTTTTTGTATCCAACTCTTGTTCATACTTTCAGACACTCCATAAACTACCTCCTTGACAAAGCTTTTCATCCTTTGACCTACTATCTCCTGTTGACTCCGTATCATACTTTATTTTAAAATGTTCCTGTGAAGTGCCTTGGGACATTTCATTATATTGAAGGCGCTATATAAATTTAAATTGTTGTTGCAAATGACTTCTGGAAGCAGGTATAATTTTGACCACTATTTGCCCCAGGATTCCCAATCATTCCCAATTATACCCAAAGCACATGGTGTCCTCCAGTGTCTTTCTGCTGGTTGAGAACATTGATCAAAAATTGTTACGTGGTGTCAAATTGGCAATGGGTTATTGTCTTTGGTGTGTTGTCCCTGCAGTGCATTAAATGGAGAGTCTACAATAAACAATCAACTTGTATCTTGGTTTTTAAGTACATTTATTATTGTGTAGTTCAATAGGTGAGTAAATCATTTTATTTCTTTGTTAACAGTCTTCTCTAAATTATTTTGAGAATGTGGTGAAATAAGTTGCATGTGTTAACATACATGCACAATGAAAATCAAAAATATTATTTTTTATATAGATTTAACGACATACATGTTCCTGTGAGACTAGAATGCGTGAAGTTTGCAAGCCATTGTTTGATGAATCATCCAGATTTAGCCAAAGATCTTACAGGTGAGGTGTTGACCTGTGTAGTCGTGTAAAATCTGCTTTCAAGACCAATACTTGAAGTATTAATTCACCTTATTGAACACTGGATTGGTGGTTGAAAGGAATCATCAGAAGCTGATTTAAGGAAGTAAACACATCTGCAGGCTAGATGCAGATGCATATAGTCTGAACAAATTCTGTATGAACTTTTATGATTTAGCGATGGTTTAATTTTATGTCACAGGACTTTGCTGGTTCTTCCAGCTGAATGTCAATTTTTGCCATAAAACCTGGTGATAATAAGATAAATATGCCATGTTCCCATATCACTTATAGATGTATGTGACCCATCATTTTCTTAGTTATCTCAAAATCTATTATTTTGGATTACCATACATCTGATTTTTGTAAGTTGAATTCAAGGACCTGGATTTTGCGGTTAGTAGTGAAGTAACTCTATCAAGGTTTTCCCTTTCCAGCAACAATTTAAATCTGCTAAGTCAAAGGGATCTCCGGACATGGCGCAAGCAACGCTCCTATCAACAAGCACTTAACTAGTCAGTTCATTGAAGCATTCACAAATAACAAATGAGTGATGTGCAAATACTTTCTCTAGGGGTATAAAATAATCCATAGAATCTGTACAGTGTGGAAACAGGCCCTTTGGCCCAACAAGTCCACACTGAACCTCGGAGCATCCCACCCAAACCCATCCTGCATAACCCACCTAATCTACACACCCTTGAACACTACGGGCAATTTAGCATGGCCAATCCACCTCGGCTGCACAATTTTGGACTGTGGGAGGAAACCGGAGCACCCAGAGGAAACCCACACAGACACGGGGAGAATGTGCAAGCTCCACACAGACAGTCGCCTGAGGATGGAATCGAACCCGGGTCCATGGTGCTGTGAGGCTGCAGTGCTGACCACTGTGCCACTGTGCAGCCCCTTCGACATCCTAGTTGTGAAATTGGCCAGATGGTTATTACTCTAATAAGTCTAGCGCAAGTCTATCTTCATTTGCTAATATACCTGTTGGGGTTCCTCTGCACTTTCTCAGAGTTTGCTGATAAAGCCAACTGCCCCACAATTGTTGCATCATTTTATTAAAGTATGTAAATTCTTGCCGATTTGCATCTCTAAATATCCAAATTGATAAATCCATCCAGAAGTGCCACTTCTGTATTTAATGTTACTGTGTTGTTTCTGAACTGTATTATACCCATGAACAATTAGACCGTTCTTAACCGTCTTGTTATTCTGTGTTTGATACATGCTATCACTAGAACCTTTTTGCATATCTTGCTTTATGCTATTATTTAATTACATCCTTTTTCCCAGTTGAGAAATGCATTGTTAAGAGGAAAATAAAATAAGTAATATAGTGAGAAATTGGTAATAAATAATATATACATTGATATTGAAACACCTATTGCTTGGTGATTTTTAAATTGAGAAGTTGTGGATGGCCAACAGCATAAATGTCTATTTATTGATTCAATGAGTTTTTTTTAAATAAACTGTTTATCACAATTTCTATTTCTGGAGATGTTCATTCAAAAATCTGCCTCCCATAAATACCCTATGCAGCACTGATTGCACAACACTGGTTGCCCAATGTAGTGTAGGAGTTATCTAGACTCAAAACTTGCGCTGTCTCCATGGATGCTGCCTGACCTGGTGTGCTCTCCAGCATTTTTTGTTTTTGGTAGTGATTGCCCAACACCTTGTTGTACTTGTGCATTAACTTCTGGTCCCTCAGTGCTTCATATTTTAAATTCTTTTATATGTTTAATCCCTGTCTGACCTTGTCCCTCCTTTCTCTTTAAATTCCTCCAGTACTGAAGTCTAGTTCACATAGCTCAATGTTTCCTTTGTGTATTTGGCCCATATAATAATGGGTGATTCTTGAGACCTGGGTGGTTATCACTCAAATAAATTCCTAAATGTCTTGTTCAAAATTGATATTACTTTTAACTGGCTACATCATTTTGTGCAATCTACCTAAATTTTACTATTGATATTTATTTTGAATTGGCATTTGCTGAATGGGATTCTGTAGTCTGCAGGAGAGGATTCTTTTAGGTGGTTCACAGAAATGCAGATTAATTTAATAAATTTGAAAATGTTTTGTCATGATTCCAGCTGATGATAAAACTGGGCAAGTTGGATCTCAATGAAACCTAGCTTGATGGATCAATAGTTTAATTTTTGCATTTGGTTATTGTGGTGGTTAGTCAGTAAACATGCTAATATGAGGCTGTCATATTCTTTAATACAAGACAATAACATAAAGAGCAAAACAAATTTTCAACCTCTTTCCCAGCCCTCACCCTTGACAGACACGCAATCCAAGAAAAGCATCACTGCTGTTCCAAGCCTTTATTTTCCAACTTAATTGACCCTTTCCAGTTCTTCTTCTTAGACTGCTGAGACAGTTTCAAGTGCAGTATAATTTGGATAAATGTAAGGTTATTCACTTTGGAAGCAAGAACAAGAAGACAGATTACTACCTGAATAAATTGGGAGAAAGGACTGTGCAGTGGGACCTGGACGTCCATGTGCACCAGTCGCTGAAGGTAAGCATGCTGGTGCAGCAGGCAGTAAAGAAAGCAAATGGTGTGTTGGTTTTCATTGTGAGAGGTTTTGAGTACAGGAGCAGGGATGTGTTGTTGCAATTGTGTAGGGCCTTGATGATACCACACCTGGAACATTGTGTGCAATTTTGGAATCCTTTTCTGAGGAAGGATGCTCCTGCTCTCGAGGGAGTGCAGTGAAGGTATACCAGGCTGATTCCGGGGATGGCAGGTCTGCTGTATGAGGAGAGATTGACTAGTTGGGATTGTTTTCGCGAGAGTTCAGACAAATGAGGGAGGATTTCATAGAGACTCATAAAATTCTAACAGGACTGGACAGGGTAGATGCAGGGAGGATGTTCCTAATGATGGGTGTGTCCAGAACCAGGGGTCACAATATGAGGATTCAAGGTAGACAGTTTAGGACAGAGATGAGACATTTCTTCACTCCAAGAGTAGTGAGCCTGTGAAATTCATTACCACAGGAAGTAGTTGATGCCAAAACATTGAATATATTCAAGAGGCGACTAGATTTAGCACTTGGGGCGAATGAGATCAGAGATTATGGGGAGAAAGCAGTATTAGTCTATGGAGTTGGACGATCAGCGTGATTGTGATGAATGGCGGAGCAGGCTTGAAGTGCCGAATGACCACCTCCTGCTGCTATCTTCTATGTTTCTGCTGGCCTGAGCCCCTCTTCAATTCTGACAACTTGAAAAAGCTATGGGCAACTGTCGCAGGTTGGAGACATCACAGGAAAAACCCTTCTTACTGTTGTCCTGAAATGAAAACTTGATTTTTTTGATCAGAACCCTGACCAAGCTAAATGAATGGTCCCTGTAAGTCATAAAACTCAGTTATAAGCATTTAATCTGTTAACACCACAGGTATCCTATGAAGCTCTTCAGTGAATTACATTCTTTCTTTGAAGTTATGTATTTTAGTCACTATTTCAAATGACTTGCTGACCTCTTTCTTTCAACAAAAGGTAAGCTTCCAGAGCCAAAACCAAAATCAACCTTCCTCTATTTTAAAAATCCAAACTTCCAGATAAATTCATGCATGTTTATCAAAGTTTATACTTTTTAAGGCACATCTGCAAATATCAGTTAGCAGGGTTAGATTTGTGAACAAAATTAACCATGAGCAAGAGGCTTGCAAAATGCAATGCTACAGGTGCATTCTTAAAAAAAAAAATCATTCAGGAAGTATTCACTGGCGTTGAGACTAACATTTATTCCCAGCCCCTTATTGTCCGAGAGAATGTGTTGGTGAGCTATCACTTTAAATTGTCTAGTGTTGGCCCAGCCACAGTAAGTAAGTGGCACTGCCGCTTTTTTCTGGGTTTGCTGCTAAATATTCTAATAGGCTATGAAACTGTGGGAACTCCGATACACACATTGGCAAATGAAGGTACGATATCAAAGAATTATTTTGTGCCTCAAGATGTTTTTTTTTTTTAAAAACTTGCTTAGTTGCTATTTGGGAAGACTTGTATGTAGTTTGCAAGTTATGTAGTTGATATCAGTACTGCTCCATGTCCTGAGATTCCTTTAAACAGCAGATTTAAACTGTTGCTGGAAAGGGAAAATCATGTCACAGTTACTTCACTACTAAGTGCAGAATCCAGGTCTTTGAATTCAACTTTCAAAAATCACAAGATGAAACAGTAATTAACATTTTGCATAGAACTTGGATCTATAACACTGAATATTGCTATTTTGGGTCTACACCACTAAATATTGCGAATTTTCTAATGGTTTCAAAGAATAAGCCAACTTAGTTCTGTTGACATGAAGGTATTTTGAATAAGTTATGATCTTTAGGTGAGTTAGTAGAATTGTTTACTCTAGCATGTGTCTGTCTAAAAGATTTTCCAGTAATCCTGATTCAGAAATTGTATTTTAAATAAGACTTCTTTTAATAGAATATTTGAAGGTTCGATCACATGATCCAGAAGAGGCAATCCGGCATGATGTCATTGTTACAATAATAACAGCAGGGAAGAAAGATCTATCACTAGTGAATGACCAACTGCTTGGGTTTGTGAGGGAGAGAACACTAGATAAAAGGGTAAGGTCTCAAATTTGTGCTTACTGCACGTAATTTACCTCCGTATACTTTGTCTCGGTTCCATTTCTTTGCTTTGTAAACAAGCAAAAATTCAAATGAAGATTTTGAATGTTGATCATCAATTAATGAAAACTGTTAGATTGCTACCTGTGGTGTCCAGGCCTTATGAATGTTGGTTTTATTTCTGTTATTGGTAATATTTTTGTAAATGACAATTCATGAGAGCAGTAGCCACACTGAAAATAAACCTGTAATTGCAATTTGTTGTACTCTTGAAATAAATATTCCCATAATCCATACCAATTGGTCAAAATCATTTCATGAAACTTGGCATTGTAGAATGTTAAAATTTTTTCATTTGCTTGATTTGAATTGATATAGTTCGAAATGTTTTAACTTTTTGATCCCCAAGCAGGTGAAATGTAACATTTTGTTTCTACAGCAATGCACGTTTTGTTATTTCTTTGTAACCTACAAAATTGAAATCAAAATATCATATTTAGTCAAACGTCAGGGATAACTTTATTTTGATCAGAAGAACCTAAAAGAACTAAAAGTAAAAAAGAAATGCTTCACATGTATTTTCCTTGGTGCTGATGTTTTTCCTTCACCTTGCTGGTCCTGCTTGTTTAATTAAACACTTATGTTCTATTCTGTCTATTAAAATTGGTCATTTTTAACAATTTTCATAATGTTCACTTTGGAACTGGGAAATGCAAAGCCATGTGTATTTGACTAGATTAATGTTGGGCATGAAAACTGCATTACTTTTTGGTGCACAAATTTGGAGGAAACTGACATTCGGGTAAGTAAATTCACGCAAGAATATTAGACAATGTTCATTTGCAATAGTTCAAAAAGTTCCCAAGTTGTTCAAGCTTTACTTTGATCACATGCAAGCTTTGTCTGTTCATGGTCTATTTTTATAAAAGTACCATCCCTCTGACACCATACACATTCCGTCTCTTCAGAAAAAGCAAAAAAAACGAACACCTGAAGCATCAGCAGTTTACTTCTGTTTAGTGATAGAAATATATTCCCAATTCATTATAAGTTTAATTCCTTCTTGTTCATTCAAATATTAAAAATAAATGGGCAATCTCTAAATAGAAATAACATTCCACAACCAACCTCAAAATTACTAATTTTGTGGATATTTTCAGATTACATTTCAGATGTTAATACTCAACTCTGGAACAGGTGAGTCTTGAACCTGGGCCTCCTGGTCAAGAGATAGGGGCACCACAAGAGCCCTAGTTCCTCTGTGTAGTGGCAGTATGTATTCGCATCTCACAAGTGCCAGGCGATAACCATATCCAACACGAGAGAATGTAACCATCACCCTTTGACGTTCTTGGCATTGCCATCATTGAATTCCCAACTGTCAACATCTTGGGGTTACCTTAGACCTGAAACTCAACAGAATTAGCCATATAAATACTTTGGTTACAAGAGCAGGTCAGAGTCTAGGATTCCTGCAGTGAGTAACTCGCCTCCTGACTCCCCAAAGCCTGTATACCATCTACAAGACTTAAGTCAAGAATGTGATGGAATGGTGTCCTTCCTTCCAGCTACACTTAAGCTTGTCATCATCCAGGACAAAGCAGCCTACTTGATTGGCACTGCATCCCCAAGCACTCAGTCCCTCAACCACTGCTGCTCGGTAACAGCAGAGTGCTGTAGAAAATCACTAAGGCTACTCGGACAGCAACTTCCAAATCCATGGCCGCCACATCTGGAAGGACAAAGGCAGCAGATACGTGGGGATACTGCCTGCAACTTCACACACCATCTGGAGTTGGAAGTTTACAGCATGGTGGCTCAGTGGTTAGCACTGCTGCCTCACAGCGCCACAGACCTGGGTTAGATTCCACCCACGGGAGATTGTCTCTTTGGAGTTTGTACATTCTCCCCATGTCTGCGTGGGTTTCCTCTGGGTGCTCCAGTTTCCTTCCACAGTCCAAAGATGCGCAGTCTAGGTAGATTGGCCATGCGAAATTGCCTGTAATGTTCAGGGATGTGTAGATTAGGTGAGTTATAGGGGGATGGGTGTGGGTGGGATTCTCTGAGGGTCGGTGTGGACTTGTTGGGCCGATGGGCCTGTTTCCACACCATAGGTATTTTATATATCTCATGTTCCTTCGTGTTGCTGGGTCAAGGTCCAGGAGTTTCTTCCTTAACCGCACAAAATAGACCACTATAGTTGAAGAAGATGGCTCACCACCACCTTCTCAAGATCAGTTAGAGATGAATAATAAACGCTGGCCTGACCAGTGACATCCACATCCCATGAATGAATTTTTTAAAAGATCTGTATGGAGGTTAGGTTACAGCAGCATGAACCACAGATTTATTTCTGTAGAGAAGTTTGATGATTTTTCTGCTTCTGCCATGCTCGGTCATTCTGCACAGGTAAAGAAATTCACAGAGGAGCCTTCACCAGACTGCTATCATTTATTTTCTGACTATAAGTGAAATGGCTACCAGAACTTATCCAGAATCACTTTTCCAGGGGAGCCAAGACAAAGGTTGGCATAAGTTGGGGAAATCAATTAAAATATTTGATATTTTATCAGACTGACTTTCGTTTATCTTTTTGTGTTTGAAGTGGCGAGTGCGGAAAGAAGCAATGATGGGTTTGGCCCAGCTATATAAAAAGTACTGTCTTCATGCGG